GATGACCCTGAAATCGTGCACTGGACGTCGCAGTCATCAGTGGCCTCCAAAGGCGGATCGGCGAGGTGGCAAGCCCCTGAATTACACCGTGCAGAGTCTGACTCCGAAGTCGAGGAAGCCATCATCCACAACACAGAGATGAGCGACGTCTTTGCCTGGGGGTGCCTTTGCTACGAAGTGAGGCTTTTCGGATTCACTGTTTTCAAAGCACGGCATGATTGATAGCTCCTAGATTTTCACTGGGCGCCTTCCCTTTTATGCCATACGCCTCCCCACAACCGTGGTGCTGAAGATCCTGGAAGGCCAGGTCCCTATGCGACCCCAAGACGGAGATCCTGCCTGGATTCAACACGGGCTAACCAAACCCATCTGGGAGCTGATGGAAATATGTTGGAAATTCGACCGAATGAAACGCCCGAAGATGTCGACTGTCGTATCAAAACTCTCACAACTCAATCTGGAAAGGAATACCAGTGATTCACGCCCGACTCCACAGTGGCCAGCGGGATCTGCTGTGCGCTTCCGCAATACAGAGAGTGCACATCCCATTGGCCATCCGAAGCATACTTTGGATGACTTTGACGCAATATTATCACGGGTGACTGGACTCAAAATTTAACAAAGTCATGTCCGTCGTGTTGAAATTATCTACATCCCGAATACTGACGATATTGGATTAGACACGTTCCCTGATTTCAAGAATTTATATACACCTTGTTGTCGTTGCTGTAGGTCTTTTACGTTTCCATATTGACTTGGATGCTGAACTTACGCTCTAGCGCTCCTTACGTGGTTCTGGTAAAAGTCACAAAAGACAGAACTCACGGCGTTGATGTGGTATGCTCATGGAGCTATGGTCGGGAGGGCGTTCGGGGCTGACATCGCAAGAGGGGGGGCACAATTAGTAGCGACCCATACAGTCATGGCACGCTATCCATGCGCTGTCAAATAGATTCTCGCAAGCAATGTGATCCACAAGAATAAACCACGCGACTTACTTCTCCTTATTCTCCGTACAACACCCGCGACACACCCTCCTCCCACACCCTGGCGCGAGGTCCTCCTCCACCATACCCTCCTCCTCCTCGTTCGCGACCTTTCTCCTCTTCTCGCCGCCGTTTATATTTGTGTTGATGGAGTGGAGCGAACGGGCCGCACGCCGGGGGGATGGGCATGGGGTGGGCGTTGGAGAACGCGTCAGGTAGGGTGTTGGCGGCATTGAAGATGGGCAGGCCATGCATGTGCGTGAACAAATCGCGCAGGTCGGGGAGGCGCACCCGCAGGGGAGTGTCCATTATTAGTGGTATATAAGATGTTGAAATATTGAAAGGCATCACCGAGCACAAACTGCGAGCAGCCCCTGCCCCTGCGTGGCATTAAGAGCGCGGTGGCATGATACACAGCTGGGTACGGCATTAACGGTGGTGGGCGGCCCTGAGATTGTTACGTGTTCCGCGAGGATGTTGAATTAGGGGGGGAGACGGTGACGGTGAGAGGGTGAAGCGAGCTTTCCACGCTTGAGAGGACGGGCAAGGCCCATGTTTCCGATGAATGGGGTTGGGTCGTTACAGTAATAGGGACTTTGTTTCTTTGAAGTCAGCAGCAGTTGAAAATAGGGTGGTTTCCACATTCGTTGGTCAAAGGGAGAGAAACAAGAAAGACAGTGCACGGAGTACGGTCTGGACAGAGCTCGACAGAGAAAACGCAAAAATACACCGAAGGGGAGTCGAACCCCTGCCGCTTGCTACCAATCTAAATGGAAGGCAAGCATGATAACCGCTTCACCATCGGTGTTATAAAAAGTAGAACAAGATCGGCCTCTATTGTGCTTTGTGTGGCCTTCACGTTGGCGTTTTCCTTTTGACGCGACTTCAAGGACTGATCTATCATCGATCATCCTCCACATGCAGCTGAACTCGTACATGCAGTGGATTCATTCCCAGCGGCCGACTTTCAGACCCTACACGGCACCAGCTCAACTCTCTGTATTGGCGATAAACTCAAAAATGGATAAACACCGTCTTATGATATTGTTGTTACTACTGTAGTTGTCGCCCTTATAGCACCGAGAAGTTAATCCAGAGCCTGAGGGTGCCAAGACAAGTATCTGACGGATATGGGATGCATGTATGTACGAATTTCCTCATGAAACTTCGCCGCAAACTTGGTATATATTAATTGGACTATGTACACAGCTTTCGTACCTGGAGCCTGATCAGTCCTCGAGATTAGACGCCCACCTCTGCATGCATAGCTTTCCACCATCGACAGACACCTAGTCTCTTGTTCTAGCCTCCCATGCAAAATTTCAGGGAAGCCGCCCTCCACCTCACCAAGAAATACACCAACGGCTATTCAAAGAGGGAGGTCAAGGTCCTTGATACGACTTCCAATGCCCGCGGAGTCCCCTCTGGCCCGCATATGCACGAAATAGCGCTGATGACTTACAATCGGTGCGAGTTCTCAGCGTGCTCTATAGAAATCATCCTAATTTCTTACTTTGGCACCGCTTTAATGTGAATGAAAGTCATGGCTTTGTCGAGGTCATGGGGATTCTGGACAAGCGCCTCAGTGACATTGGGAAGAACTGGCGCTGTGTGTACAAGGTCCCTCCTCAGTACCCTCCCGCTTGTATCCTTCTGCTAATCCACGCACCCACATCACTTTCTCGATAACAGAGCCTACTGGTGCTAAGATACATCCTTCTTCGAGGCTCCGACAACGTCCTCTTCTTTCTACGTGACCACATCGAAAGCATTTCCATATTAAGGACGTTTGGATACGTTAGCGACGATGGGCACGACTACGGCAACCACGTTCGGAGGCACGCAGGCAAACTCGTCACGTTTGTTAGAGATGACCCTCGTCATCGCGAGAGGCGCCGCGACCTCGACGCGCGCGTAGTCTACGAGGTCTATGGGAGTGCCGACAGTTCCGGTCGTCGCCGGCGAGTAACGAAGAAGATAACGCGGACCCGGGAGCAGGAGAAGCTGATCGCTGCCTTGAAAGAGAAATATAGAGCAGAAGAGAGCAAAAACACGATCGAGGGGAGCAATGTCCAACAGAGTGAGGATGTGTTGGGGAACTACTTCGACAAGCCGTATCGGGGTGTAGAAGATCTGATGTGGGGGGTTGGGGACGACGAGCGCATGCAAGGAGTGGAACAGCATGGGGAGGAAGTGGAAATTGACGCACAGCGCACTTTTGTTCATCCCAACGGGCGGTTTAAGAGTAAGGCGGATTTCGAGGAAATGGAAGCAATGGAACATCGGGCAGTTTTGTATCGAGCAATCCTTCGCCATTCACAGTCGACAAGCGAGCCACATTTACCGCTGTCAGAGAGGCAACGCCAGGACACCGACGGCGACGTACCGCGGCCAGGATTCGGAATGAACCAGGTAGAGAGCATGGACGCCTCCGCAATACTCAATGACCAGGATCATTCGTACGTCGCACAGATGTATCCATATTCTGAAAAGAAGGTTCTCACCGTGTACCACAGTCTACCTGCAACTACCCGAATGAATACCTTCCTCCCTACGACGAACATGACTCTGCCGACGCCCCAACCGCTGTCAGAGAGGCGACGCCAGGACACCGACAACAATGTGCCGCAGCCAGGATTCGGAGTGAAGCAGGTAGAGAGCACGGACGCCTCTGCGATACTCAATGACCAGAATCATTCGTACGTCGCACAGATGTATCCTTATTCTGAAAAGAAGGTTCTCGAAATGCGCTACAGTCTACCTACAACTACCCGAATGAATACCTTCCTCCCTACGGCGAACATGACTCTGCCGACGCCCCAAATCACCACACTGCGACCCCAGTTTGCGTCGTCCAATCCGTTCAAGCTACAAGCAGAGCAGGAGGCGGCCCAGGCTAACTCTCTGCAGCAACAGCACGTCGATAACCATGGGAGAGACGAGAGCGAGAATATTCATGTTTTCGAGCCGTTTAATGATATATCGTATGTTACATTCCTTTCCCTATCTTGTAAAGAGTCCTTTCCCTCATTGTACCTTATACAGGCCATCGCACACTATCGACTTCACGCCCTACCCGACGTTGTACAACCCAGATATCAGTCAGTACCAGCCGGGGATATCGGAGGCAGACCACGATCGCCAGGTGCAGCTATACTTTCCCCATCGCCAGCAAGAGGGGCAGTCACAGCACCAGCAGCTTGCACAGCTGCCTCGCTATGAAGAGTGGACAATCCAGCATCAGATCATGCTACAATTGCAGCTGGACCGGCAGTATGCTGGTTTGCCGCCTTTTTCACAGCGGCAGCGAGGGGTTGGGCAGATCCAACAACAGCTTGTTCAGCCGCATCGTACCGACGGGACCGAGGCGAATCACTTCAAAACTAAGCCATTCACAACGACAAATCCACATCAACGGAGAAACAAAACCTTATCTATGCTCGTAGCCATCCTCAACGAGCATCGCCATTATCGAAGTCTTCTGAAATGTAGTAGGTCGGATGCTCAAATCATTCTTGAGCTGTGTCAAATGGTAAGCCACTGTAAAGTACTCCCTCGATGTCGTTGATTTTGAAATACATTTCTTCAGCTTCTTGATTCTTATGAAGTCGCAAGCGATATTCGAAGGCAGATCGTCACTGCAATGCAACGGCTCGCGGCAAAGTCAAAGAGCTTTCCGTCATACTTCTTCGTCCGCGGGCCTATATTTCTCGCTGACGAAAACGCAATTAGCTCAGGCAGTTTTGGAGACATCTACAAGGCGACTTTACACACTGAGACTCTGTGTTTGAAGGTTCTGAGGGCCAATCGGTCAATTTTAGAAAAGTTGGCGAAAGTATGTTGCATCCCCTTCTTATAACTCGAAGTCATTATTAATAATGCCTTATTATAGTCTTTTGCGAGGGAAGCTATATTGTGGAGTCAACTATCCCATCCCAATGTCCTTCCTTTCTATGGGCTCTACGTCTTTCGCTCCCAACTTTCTTTCGTCTCTCCTTGGGCTGAAAATGGAAATATAATGGAATTCTTGACCCAACGA